AGCGTCCGGGCCCAGCGAGGGGCTGGTGTTCCCGTGTGTGGCGGGCAGCTCCCCTGGGAACAGACTCCGGCCTGTGCGGGGCCGCCCTAGCCAGGCACCGTCTGTTTGCAAGGTGAGTTTGCATTCACCGAGCTTGTGCTTTTTCTGGAGCCGGTTGCCAGGCCAGTCTCGCCTCCCGGGGAGCTGAGGTACCTCCAGGGCTGGTTGAGAACCACTGTCCAGCCTTTGCCTCTAGAATAGCCAGGCTGGATCAGACCCAAGGCCCTCCGGCCTGTGCGGGGCCGCCCTAGCCAGGCACCGTCTGTTTGCAAGGTGAGTTTGCATTCACCGAGCTTGTGCTTTTTCTGGAGCCGGTTGCCAGGCCAGTCTCGCCTCCCGGGGAGCTGAGGTACCTCCAGGGCTGGTTGAGAACCACTGTCCAGCCTTTGCCTCTAGAATAGCCAGGCTGGATCAGACCCAAGGCCCATCCCACCCAGCGTCCGGCCTGCCCACAATGGCCAATGCCAGGTAACCCAGAGGGAGGGATCACACCAGAGAACCAGCCCATTACCCTCCCCGATGCCCATTCCCAGCCTCTGACACACAGAGGCCAGGGACACCCTCCCTACCCAGCCTGGCTAACGGCCGTCGATGGACCTAGCCTCCATGGATTCATCTTGTTCTTTCTTGAACCCTGTTACAGTCCCGGCCTTCACAACATCCTCTGGCGAGGAGTTCCACAGGTCAACTGTGCACAACATGAAGAAAAACTTCCTTTGGTTTGTTTTAAACCCCTAGTTCTTGTGTTATGGGAACAAGTAAATAACTTTCCTTAGTCTCTCCATGCCTGTCATGATTTATAGACTTCGATCAGATCCCTGTCAGTCTCCTTTTCCAAGCTGAGAAGTCCCCGTCTTTTTAATCTCTTCTCATACGGGGCCCGCTCCAAACCCCTCAGCATTTGTGTCGCCCTTTTCTGAACCTTTTCCAATGCCAAGAGACCTTTTCTGAGAAGGGGCGACCACATCTGGACGCAGCATTCGAGCTGTGGGCGTCCCGTGGACTTAGAGAGGCAATAAGATATTCTCTGTCTTATTCTCGATCCCTTTTTGAATGAATCTCAGCACTCGCTTTGCTTTGTGACGGCCGCTGCACACGGAGGGGATGTTCGCAGAGAACTATCCACCTGACCCCAAAATCTCGCGCTTCAGTAGTTGTGGCCAGATTAGTCCCTGTTGTGCATGTAGCCGGGGTTATTTTTTCCATCACTTTGCATTTACCAGCATTACATTTTATTTGCCATTTGGTTGCCCAGTCACCTAGTTTGGTGAGATCTCTTGGAAGCTCTTCCCACTCTGCTTTGGTCTTAACGGTCTTGAGCAGTTTGGTGTCATCTGCAAATGTGGCCACCTCGCTGTTTACCCCTTTCTCTGCATCATTTATAAATAAGTTGGACAGGACGGGTCCCAGGACAGACCCTTGGGGGACCCCACTTGTTACCTCTCTCCACTCGGAAAACTGACCATTTATTCCTCCCCTTTGTTTCCTGTCTTTTAACCAGTTACCAATCCATGAAAGGACCTTCCCTCTGATCCCATGACAACTGACGTTACTTAAGAACCTTTGGGGAGGGACCTTGTCAAAGGCTTTCTGGAAATATAAGTGCACTGCATCCACTGGATCCCCCTTGGCCACATGGGGGATGATACCAAACTGGGTGGGGTTGCGACTTCTTTGGAGGATAGGGACATAATTCAAAATGACCTTAGCAAGTTAGAGAAATGGTCAGAGGTAAACAGGATGAGGTTTAATAAAGAGAAATGCAAAGTGCTCCACTTAGGAAGGAACAACCAGTTCCATACATACAAGATGGGAAGCGACTATCTAAGAAGGAGCATAGCGGAAAGGGATCTAGGGGTCATAGTGGACCACAAGTTGAATATGAGTCAACAGTGTGATGCTGTTGCAAAAAAAGCAAATATGATTCTAGGTTGTATCAACAGGTGTGTGGTAAGCAAAACTCATGAAGTCATTCTGCCGCTCTACTCTGCACTAGTTAGGCCTCAAATGAGTACTGTGTCCAGTTCTGGGTGCCACATTTCAAGAAAGATGTGGAGAAATTGGAAAGGGTACAGAGAAGAGCGACAAGAATGATTAAAGGTTTAGAGAACATGACCTATGAAGCCAGGCTTCATGAACTGGGCTTGTTTAGTTTGGAAAAAAGAAGATTAAGGGGGGACATGATAGCGGTTTTCAAATATCTAAAAGGGTGTCACAAGGAGGAAGGAGAAAATTTGTTCCTCTTGGTTTCTGAGGACAGGACAAGGAGTAATGGGCTTAAAGTGCAGCAGGGGAAGTTTAGATTGGACATTAGGAAAAAATTCCTAACTGTCAGGGTGGTCAAATATTGGAATAAATTGCCAAGGGAGGTGGTGGAATCTCCCTCTCTGGAGATATTTAAGAACAGGTTAGATAGACATCTGTCAGGGATGGTGTAGACGGAGCTTGATCCTGCCTTGAGGGCGGGGGGCTGGACTCGATGACCTCTCGAGGTCCCTTCCAGTCCTATTATTCTATGATTCTATGAAAAGCAAGGGAGGTGGTGGAATCTCCCTCTCTGGAGATATTTAAGAACAGGTTAGATAGACATCTGTCAGGGATGGTGTAGACGGAGCTTGGTCCTGCCTTGAGGGCGGGGGGCTGGACTCGATGACCTCTCGAGGTCCCTTCCAGTCCTAGGATTCTATGGTTGTTGACCCCCTCAGAGAACTCCAGTGATTAGTGAGGCAGGATTTCCCTTCCCAGACACCCTGCTGACTCCCCCAACATTGTCAGGGGTTCTCAGACTTGTGATACGGCGCCCCCCCTCTGAGTGGCTCGGGCCCCCGGGGGTCGGGCCCCGGTCTGAGAAAGGCCGCGTTATCTTCATACCCTTTGCTCTAGTTTCAACTCATTTGCCCGGTTCTGAAGTTAGACTTACTGGTGTATGTGGCAAGTGGGGATTGTGAGGAGTTTATTCCCCTTGTTATGTAGCATGTGATTTCTACTGTCCTGGGATAACCCCATGTGCATGCCTCAGTTTCCCTGGGCACTGCACCAATACCTAGAATGGTGATGGGAGTTTTGGTGTGACAGCCTCCCCCATGTACACAATGGCCAATGTTTTTCGTAACCTAAGCGCAAGAGGGGTGTGTGACCAGGTGACTCCTTTGGTCCAGGAAGTAGGACAAAGGCTGGAGACGGGGCTGGTTGCAGGGAGGAGACAGGCTGCTGGTGTGTGAGTGAGTCTCACTGGCTTAGAGTACAGGGAGGGGATCAGGGCCCTGGCTCTGGGCCCCCTCTTCCCAGGATGGACGGTGCTGGCTGCTTCTGGGTCCTGTGCTGCCAAGTCTGTTCTACACTGTGTCCCTGTGAACTAATAAACCTTCTGTTCTCCCTGCTGGCTGAGAGTCACATCTACGACGGGCTGCGGATGGGGGTGCAGGGCCCGGTGACTCCCCCACCTCAGTGACAGCCAGTGATTACCAGGCTCACTGTGCATTCACAGAGGCAGTGCATCAGGGCCGTCCTAGGCTAGACCAATAAACTGGTGCCTCTATGCCTGATGGCAGCCAAGGGGAACGATTATTTTTAGAAATGTGATTTTATGATCTTCAGCAACGTCCATAAGCACATTTTAAACTAAGCTCCTGTCGACTTAGTAAACTCACAAACCGACAGTATCTACCTGGGGTGGGAAATGCCTGTTAAATGGCTTCATGGATCTTTCACAGGGTGGATGTTCTGCTAAGAGATCTGGCAGACTCTCTCACTTTTAAGTTAACTAAAACCTCTCTGGCGGAAGCAGAGCCACAGAACAGGGATAGGAAGAGGCAGGTGGATGGACACTAAGGCCCAGTGGTTCCCCACATTTTCAGGTGCTCTAAGCTGCAGCCTATTCTGCGTTTGGTAAGGACGGCCTGTTACCCGCACAAATTTCTCTATCCCTTCTACACTGTAGGGACACACACCTTTCCCCAGTTCTTAGAGCTCAGTGCAACCCTGTTAATTTACACACCCACCCTTACCCAATTCCTAGGGCACAGGGTACAACCTCCTGTGGGTTTTCAGTGGCTAAAGATCTTCAGTGGCTAAAGATCTTTCAGGATCTTTAGCCACTGAAATAGCCTGGTGTGACACTATTTTAATACGAAATAGATGGAATGTAAGTATGTGACTCAGACCTTTCAGCTAATGGCTGCTGCTCTTCAGTCTGGCTGCAGAAGAAGGCTTTGGCTGCCTGAGAGGGGACAGGTCCCATGCCCTATTCCCTGTCCATCTGAGGGAGTCAGTCCCTGCCCTGGGGCCAGAGGGGAGCTGGCACCCTCTCGCAGGCCCCCTGCACCAACCAGTCCCTATGCTGGGGCTGGGTGGGAGCCAACGCGCCCTAAGAGGGGACAGGCCCTGTCACGTTGCACCGATGCTCAACATACAGCCCTCTCCAGACCTCCTCCACCCGGTCCAGTGACACGCCGTGCACCACCAGTGCCTCCCGGTACAGACACAGCTCATCCCGCACACCGTAGACCTTGAAGAGGGGTGTTACACTGTGTGTGCGTGTGTGTGCGGGAGGGGTGTTACACTCTGTGTGTGTGTGTGCACGTGCAGGAGGGGTGTTACACTGTGTGTGTGTGTGCGGGTGCGGGAGGGATGTTACACTGTGTGTGTGTGTGCGCGCGGGAGGGGTGTTACTGTGTGTGTGTGTGTGTGCAGGAGGGGTGTTACACTGTGTGTGTGTGCGCGCGTGCGCGTGCGGGAGGGATGTTACACTGTGTGTGTGTGTGTCTCTGGGATGGGTGTTACTCTGTGTGTGTGTGCAGGAGGGGTGTTACACTGTGTGTGTGTGTGCGCAGGAGGGGTGTTACACTGTGTGTGTGTGTGTCTCTGGGAGGGGTGTTACACTGTGTGTGTGTGTGTCTCTGGGAGGGGTGTTACTCTGTGTGTGTGTGTGCAGGAGGGGTGTTACACTGTGTGTGTGTGCGCGCGTGCGCGTGCGGGAGGGATGTTACACTGTGTGTGTGTGTGTCTCTGGGATGGGTGTTACTCTGTGTGTGTGTGTGCAGGAGGGGTGTTACACTGTGTGTGTGTGTGTAACTTGGTGGGAGTCACAGGCTGTGCTGGTGTGTAGCTGTGCGGCAGGGCGTTTACCATGTGGCTGGCAGGGTGCCAGAGGGTGTATGTAGCCATGTGCTGGTGTGTGCAGACTTGGGGCAGGGCCTGTCACGCGCACGTACATGTGTGTGTGCACGCGCATCTGGAAGGGGTATTGCACACACACACACACACACACACACACACACACACTGTACCTTGGGGGGAGTCTCCGGCTGTGCCGGTGTGTAGCTGTGCAGCAGGGCATTTACCGTGTAGCTGGCAGGGCGCCGCAAGGTGTATCTAGCCATGTGCCGGAGCGTGCAGACTTGGGGCAGAGCCTGGTGTGTGTGTGTTGTGTAAGGAGCAGTGCAGCGTGTACCCATGTTTGGAGGGGAGGGCACAATGGGGGGTGTCCTTGGTGGGGGGACTGTGTGCGGGCAACCCTGGGATCTCTCTATTTGGGGAGACAGGGGGGTTATAGGCCCCCCCATCTGGCCTTTCCCTGTGCCTCACCCCAAATAAATGATTAACTCCCCAGCTCCCCCACCCCGCTCTCCTACAGGGAAAAGTGAGCCCAGGCATCCTGGCTTCCAGCCAGCTCCTGGCACCCCTAGACCTGGCTCCCAGGCCCCCTCGCTCTAACCACCAGACCCCACTGCCCTGGCTTGCCTTCTTAGAAAGGCAGGGCTCCTTTCAGGCACGTTCTCCCAGGAAGGAGACAAGATGTTTACAGGGCAGAAGCAACAGGCCCCGGCAGGGCCGAGGTGTGACTGGGCAGGGAACACACGCCCAGTTCTGTGCCCTGCCCAGACCCGTCTCCTCACGTCCCGCTTCCCCACCCCTCTGCTGCTAGCGGCCCAAGCTCCTTGCGGCAGGGTGCTGGCTCTTTAAGTACTCGCTGTAATCCCCCTCTGCTCCACCACCACCCCCCCACTCCCCCTGCAGCGCCCTCTGCTCCGCCTGTAGTGAGCACTGCCCTTTTCACAGCTCCCCTCTACTCCGCCTGTAGCAGGCACAGCCCCTTTCACCTCCCCCTCTGCTCCACCTGTAGCGGACACTGCACCCTGCTCTGCCTGTAGCGGACACCACCCCTTTCACAGCCCCCCGCTCTGCCTGTAGAGGACCCCTTTTGCAGCCCTCCTCTGCTCCACCTGTAGCGGGCACTGCCCCTTTCACAGACCACGCCACTCCTTCCGTAGGGGGCACACTGCCCCTTTAATAGCCCCATGCGCCCCACCTGTAGCAGGTGCTGCAATTTTTAAGAACAGCTCGGGTGCCTGCTGTAGGTACTGCCCCTTTAAGACCCCGTCCTCTCTGCCTGTTCTGCACACCACCCCTTTAAGGCCCTCCTGTCCCATCCGCCTGTAGCAGCCTCCAGACCTGACACTATTTGGCAGGGGGAGCGGGTGTCATGTAATGGTTGCCATGGTGCCCAGCCCCACCTCTCCCCTCCTAACACTCGCCCCTTTGTCAGCCCGCGTGGGCTGGGATTTTGGGCCTCCAGACGCGACAGGCTGGAACATTCCCCAGGCGCCCTGCCTGCCCCACCCGGCCCACGCGGGACCCGGGCTCCCACTCCCCTCCCCCCACTCTA